ATTCCAAGGGTGTTTGGAAAAGCATAGAAAAACCCATTGGTAAAAAAATTACTACCTGCGTCATTTTTGTTAAAAAAGTATTTGTTTTAAAAATAATATTTAGTTTTTATATGTTTAAAATTTTATTAGAAAAAAATTTTTAAAAAATTTCAAATGCTAAATCTTTTTTGAAACTTACTTAAATTTTATTTAAAAAATTAATTTTAAATTTATTTTTAATAAAATTTTAAATTTATAAAAAAAAAATATTTTTAAAATAAATGCTTCTTAAAATTTTCGAAGCACCCTTTAGAACTCACTTTTAGGATACTGATCTTGATCTATATAAATTAATAATAGACAGTTAAGAAAACGTGTTTAATTTTCTTCATGCCAAGACACATGATTTTGTTTTATTAATTTTAGTGTCACTTCACTTAATTGTTAAAGTAATCATTTTTTCTTTCCCGCTAAGCAGCTAACTACCATGTGTTTGTCCTCTTTTAATTTTCTCTAACCATGAGAATCTCGGAGCTTAAGAATCAAATAATCAGCCATGGGGTTCTAAGTGGGAATATTATATTTAATCTCAAAGTGTTAGGTTAATTTTTTTCTAACAAACTTTCATGATAGATATATGTCACACCATATGTCCCAAAAAATATTACAATTCAATGATTAAAGATGGGGATAAAAAAAAATGAAATAAATAAGATCAACCATAGAGGCAAGAAAACAGAGAACACGAGGTTAGTTGAGAACAAAACCTTTTTAGGACATATGGGTCTATGTGGTCTCCTGTGATTATTAAAGTAGAATACATTCCATAAATAGCAATAACTTGTTGATATGAATGAAAAGAAATTAATTTTTTTTTAAATAAGATTTTAAATTTGAGTTTTATGAATGAAAAAATAAGTGTTGAGAGAATTTTTGTCTTCTGATATTCCTCACATCTCGATTTTGAATTAATCAAAATTTAGTGTGGTTATTAAACACCAAGAAGTTAATAAAAAAAAAAACAAGAGGTAATATATTCCATAAATAAAAAAATTAAAAGAACCATGGTGGGGAAATCATTTTAGTACTTTTTTTTTTTT